GGAGGGAAGAAGGAAACCAGTCGATCCTTGAAGCAGGAAGGCGCCCATACACTATACAAGGATCTGGGAACCCAACCCAAACATACCTGCGTTCAACGACCGGCGCGCAACGTTTGGCCTGCAAACGCGGCCCGGCCTGCAGACGCCAGCGCGGGCGGCGCTGGTGTTGAGCAGGGACCGACCGTCGCGGCATTCATACAAGCCTACCACGGCATGTTCTTCGAACCCAAACAGTTATGCTCCCATACCATGAACCAGATGTGCTAAAACAGGACAGACTCGACCAGAAGTGTTCTGAGAACATGTCGTGCAGACCACAACAAGTACTTGGAGCATTCTGTGGTGCGCCTGTAGGCGAGCCAGGACGCTTCGCCACTGCTTGATGGTGGCGGAGCGTCCGCGCCCGCGGCCGCCGGCGCGGCCCCCTCGCCGACATGCGGCACCCGGCCTGGCGGCGCGATCCGGCAGGGCCTGCGAAGGCGGCGCGCCCCGCGGATAGCCGCCCCCTCGCCGCCGAGTTCGTGGGCCCAGCGGGGCCGCGCCGTGCGCGGCTCCACCGCCGCCCCGCCCTTTCTCAAAAGCAACACCTCCTCCTCATCCCCCTCCCCCTCCTCGTCGTCCTCCTCCTCCTCCTCCTCCTCCTCGTACACATAAGGCGAAGCCAGGACGAGGACAAAAGCAAGTCAAGATAAAAATCGAGAATCGCTGAGATGCGCTGGCTCTGGAGGAAGTCTCGGGCGCCGCGGCCCTCTCAGAGCGTTCCGGAACGCTCTGAGAGCGTGCTGGAACGCTCTGGAACCGGTTGATCCTCGTCTTGGTCCCGTCCGATACATGCACCCCACTGGGCCACCTGACTTGCAGATAGCAAACCCACCCGGACCCCTCCATCAGACCCATCCAGGAAACAGGTCGGCATGTACCCTGTCAAGATGGACGGAGTTTGCCGTCGGCGTTGCAAGACGCGCGGCAACAATGGGGCGTGGATCACATCGCGCGCGGAAAGGCGAAAGGTCGCTCTCGATTCTGCACCGCGCTCAGTTTGAATCCCGCTCGAGCGCGGCGCCCACAGGCTGCTCACCACTTCGCTGACGCACGAGTAAACCAAAATGTCGTTCTCGCCTGGGCGCCGCGCAACTTTCGCCTGAAAGCGGCCCTCCTGCCGTGGCGCGGCGCTTACTTGTCGGCCGCCAGCGCGCGCCAACGGGCGACTCTGTCGCCCTTGCCCAAGCTTTGTGCGGACTTCGTCGTATCGAAGTGGCGTTTCCGTTTGCGCGCGGCGAATGCTTCGTCTTCGCCGCGCTCATCGGAAATGTGGCAGCCCAAACGGAACCCCTCGACGCAGCGCCGCAAGGAAGTTCCGACGATCCGCTCCAGCCCGTGCGAGGCCCACGTGCTTCCCCTGCGCCAGCGCGTCGGAAGCGGGGCAGCGCGCGAGCGAGCGTCTTCCATTCGCCAGGTGAGAAGGCGTTGCAATCCCAAAATCAAGTTGAGCCACCATTGTGTCTGATGCTATTGGAGTGAGGGTTGAAATGGGCGGGGCCCGCTGACTCGCTCTACTGGGCGAACTTGCACCTCCTCATACTCCTCCGCCTCTATCTTCACAGCGTCATCCCTCTCCTCCTCGCCATCCATACCTCATCCACGTCCGTCATTCCCCAGTTCTTGCCCCTCTTGTTCCTCCTAGACCCACGCCACTTCTCATCCTCCTGACGCTGACGCTGAAGGCATGAGGGTCGAGATGCTCCTCCTCCTCCTCCTCCTCCTCCTCCTCCTCCTCCCTCCTCCTCCTCCTCCCTCCTCCTCCTCCTTCTCCTCCCCCTCCTCCTCCTCCGACTCCTCCTCCTCCTCCCTCCTCCTCCTCCTCATTCCTCCTCCTATTCCTCCTCCTATTCCTCCTCCTCCTCCTCCTCCTCCTCCTCCTCCTCCTCCTCCTCCACATTCTCCTCCTGCTCCTCCTGCTCCTCCTCCACCACCTTCTCTTCCTGCTCCTCCCTCCTCCTCCTCCTCCTCCGCCTCCTCCACCACATTCTCCTCCGGCTCCTCCTGCTCCTGCTCCTGCTCCTGCTCCTCCTCCTCCTCCTCCTCCTCCTCCTCCTCCTCCTCCTCCTCCTGCACCTCCCCTTCCACCTCGGCGTCATCACCCACGATCTGCTGCATGATGCTTTCACATGAGTCTGGCTTCCTCTGTGTCATCGTCCTCCTCCTCCTCCATTTCCTCCTGCTTCTCCTCCTGCTGCTCCTGCTCCTCCTCCTCCTCCTCCTCCTCCTCCTCATCATCATCATCATCATCATCATCATCATCATCATCATCAGCATCATCATCATCATCATCAGCATCAGCATCATCATCATCATCATCATCATCATCATCATCATCATCAGCATCAGCAGCAGCATCATCATCATCATCATCATCAGCAGCATCATCATCATCATCCTCATCCTCCTCGTCCTCCTCCTCTTCTTCCTCCTCCTCCTCATCCTTCTCCTCGCCCTCCTCGTCGAAACCTCGCCATCCTGACCACTAGCGCCACCACAAGCGCCCGCCCCTGCGAGAGAAGGGCCCCAGAGGCCGCACAGCCAGAGAGGGGCAACCGCGCCCTAACCCGACGCCGCGAGGCGCGACGCGCGGCGCCTTCTTGAGGTGGAACGTCTGGAGAGGGCCAGACCAGGGGGCGCAACATCGTGCTGGAATCGGCGACATATCGCCGATAGATCGGCGATATACCCCCGACTTCAAGCCCGCTCTCCCCGGGGCGGGTGGGGCAATAGATGGGCGATCGCTAGTCGACGCATTCGCCCTAAGCCGCCAATCGCGCACCGCCTCTCGTGCACGGGCGTGACGCGCCAGCGCCGCGCGCGGGCGTCGCCAGCTGAAGCGGCGCCTTGTTGCGCCCGCGCGCGCACACATGATCGCGCAGCCCCAGTTTTGAGCGCGAGGGAGATGTTCGGAAGCATCTGCATTTGGTGGAGCTCCGGAAGCCTCCGCGGTGACCCCCGGGGGCCTCCCCGGGACAACCCCGCGCTCGCAGGCCCATTGCCTCGTCGACGTCCTCCTCCTCCTCCTCCTCCTCTTCTTCTCCTCCTCCTCCTCTTCCTCCTCCTCCTTCTCCACCTCCACCTCCTCCTCCTCCTTTTGCTGGTCCTCCTCGGCCAGCGGCAGCGGCGGCGGCGACGGCGACGGCGACGACGACGACGACTACGACGACGACGACGGCGACGACGACGACGACGACGACGGCGACAACGACGGGAGCGGCGGCGGCGGCGGCGATGACGACCACGACGGCGGACACGAAGACGACGGCGGCGATGGCGGCGGCGGCGGCGAAGACGCCGATGCTGGCGACGACGGCAACGCCGGCGGCGATGACGGAAGCGGCGGGCGGGCGCGCCGCGGCAGCAGCCGGGGGGCCAGAGGGGGGGGCGCGGGCCGCGGGCGGCGGGCGTCCCGCAGCTCGCAGTGCAGGGCCGCGACCGCGACGCGGGTGCTGCCGCCGACCTCGCCTCGGAGAGGAGAAGGGGGGGGGGGAGGGGCGATCGCCCCGCCCGTAGGAGGGGATCGCCGACCTCGCCTCGGAGAGGAGAGGGGGGGGGGGGAACGATCGCCCCGTCCGTGAAGAGGGGGGTCAGGGACGGGAGGGGGTAGAGTAGAGGGCAGAACATGCAACCCCAGCACGAGCATCCCGACAGGCGAAGCCGTTCAGTTAACGCGCCAATGGAGGGAATCGAACAGGGCAGGTCGGTTTAGTCAACGCGGAGGGCCGTGTAGTAAACGCCAAGTGTCAAGGTCTGGGTGCTTTCTCCTCCCTTCAGGGGGATGTCGGAAGGAGAGGCAGGGGAGGGAGGGAGGGGACGGGAGGGCGGGGAGGGAGGGCGGGAGGGCGGGAGGGAGGAGTTTGAGCAAGCAGCTGCAAACAAGCACGCCCGGAGAGTTGCAAGTAAACCTCGAGTCGAACACACACACACACACACACACACACACACACACACATACACACACGTGGACACACACACACACACACACACACAAACACACATCGGGAAGCACATACACACACACACATTCACACACACTACCGCGTCGCGGCCCCGCGCTCGGCGACGGGGCCGTGGAACATCGAACGCAACTTGCGGAACGCGCGCACTCACGCGGGGCCGAGCTCTCAGAGACCACTTTTAAGCTATCGCGGCCGGCAGGCCAGCCACCACCATCGGGACCCAGACGGTGGTGCTCGGCCATGAACGCACGAACCCACGGAGATCGGGGGCGGCAAAGAGGGGGGTGTCCAAGAAGGGGGGGTGCAAATCATGACCGGCGGCACGTGCGCGGCCCAGCGGGGGGGCCAGGGACGTAATGAAACAAGAAGAGGCGCCATGAGATTTGGGGAAATACCGTGGCCCCCGCCATGATGTCCACCCCCCCCTAGTCATCACCCCCCTCTTTTCCGCCCCCGAGTGGAAGGCGACATCCAGTGAGCCAACCGGGACGAAGGCGGGGAAAGCGAGCAACCGAGAGTGGACCGACAAAGGAGCGCGTCACCGACCAGCCACAACTGGGGGAGCTGTGGTCCTTGCCCCCTCCGGGGGAACCCCTCGCCTCGACGATCTCTCTCTCGATCTCTCGATGGGTCCCCCATGAGGGGAAGGACCACGGCTCCCCCAGTTGTGGCTGGCCTGGCGTCAGGGAGCGACGGCGGAGAGCGAGCCGAGGTCGATCGCGCGCGGCGCCTCGCGGAGCGATGCGCTCGAAGGTTCGTGGCGGCCCAGGGAATGGCACATCGGCCCTGGAGGAAGAGGAGGAGGAGGAGGAGGAGGAGGAGGAGGAGGAGGAGGAGGAGGAGGAGCAGGAGCAGGAGGAGGAGGAGAGGGGGGGAGAAGGATATTCTTTGACAGGGCCTCGGGATGAATGCCCTCCAGGGCACAAGGCGCTAGCTCCCGCAAACAAGCGCCTCAGCTGTACAGTAAACGATAGGGCGACGCCAGGACGACAGCCAAGAAACCCCAGGTGTACCTAACCCTGAGGGCGGACGCCTGGACGGCCCCTGGACTGCCCCAGGTGTGGGCCCATCTCGCACCCTGAGCCAGTGCCCCCATGGCGGGCCCTCCAGATACGGCCAAAGACCAACTGGGCAGAGCGATCAAAGACCCGCCGCCTTCCGCTCCAACGAAAGGTACACAGACTAGCAGGGCGACGAGATAAGAAGGGCCAGTCGCATCGGGCCATGCGAAAGAAGACACTAGCGTGAAAAACATCAAAGCCTGCTTGGCCGCCCACGTCAAACCGAACTATCAGACTCCTCCCCGCGGTGCGGCAGAACGCTCACCATCTCTCCCACAGGCGAGGTGTGTGAGGTGGCGAACGCCCTGCGAACCCTCGACGCCTGTGCGTCCTTCACCACGTCTGAGGGCCCTCTGTAACTCGGAGAGATCTTCTTGCCTATCCTGGCCAGGTTCTGGACGCCCTTGCGTGTTGCAGGCTCGCACTGTGACAATAAACTTCTCGGGACGACCGTAGCCGTGCGGCCGCAAGTCGCACAAAAATAAAGTGAGTGCCGCGGCCAGAAACGGAGGGCATGAGACTCGTGAAGCTGATTTCCGCCCAGCGTCACCCCCCCCCCCCTCCCACCGACCGAAACTCATCGATAGCCGAGTCCGTGGACCCTGGGTCCGCCGACAGGTCGACCGAGCACTCCGTCGCGCATGCCTCCAGGATGTCTTTCTGGTTAATAATGCATTGGCACAGGCTGCACACAAATTTATGAGACGGCTGGCGCACAAAACAACGTTGACTCTCCAGCATGGCCTTCGGAAGAACCGCCTCCGACGAGGCTGTGCTGGGGCTGACTTGGGCCTCTCGGGGGCAGCTAGAGAGGTCCAGACGAGGCCACTGAGGAAGGATTTTGGCCGCCAAGTTGCAAACCGCTTTAGCGACCCTGATGCAGAAAGCCAGAAAGCCTCCTGCTCGTCCTCCGTGGCCGCAGGGTGAAGATTGGCCCCTGCGTTCGCCGCCACGTCCGCCGCGTGGTTGCCCAAACGGCGCCACCTCTCATCTGGCTCAATTCCCTCTTCGTGAGGGCCGAGGTGAGCCTTCACATTCGAAACAGCACTGAACAACGGGGCCCCGAGGTTAAAAAGCATCATGAGGCCAGCGTAGGGCCTATTGTAGGAAACCTGCAACTCCCTCGGGGCAAGGGCAAGGTCCACCACATTTTTGCAGTCACTAAAAACAGACGACGGGCCCGTGACTTCGATCCCCGCTCTGGCCAGGGCCGCGAACTCTCCACATTGGGGAGTCTGAAGGAACAGATCATACACGGGGGCGTAAATCGTGCACCGTTCTTGGCCAGCGTCGTCGACTAAAACGAGACCGTACCCCGCCCTCGAGAGCTCGGAGACTTGGTGCCTGAAACAGCACCCATCTACGAAGATACAGCCACTGAAACTGCCATCGTCGGGGGGGAAGCCGTGCCAGACATGGACCGCCTGGGCCCCAGCGCACTCGCCAGCAGGCCTAGGGAAAACGTCCCCAGTGTGGGGAAACAAACCTTTGCCGAAAAGGAAGTCGGTGAGGTGGTCTGACGGATCCGCCGCGTCAGCGGCCTCCAGAACGTCTCGGTCGATCAACTCCGATCGCATCGAATCGAAGGCAGGGCAACGCCAGAGCCTGTGAAAAGGCGCGTCACCGTGCTGCCCGCACATCGCACAGCGATCGTCCGACAGCTGGTAACCCGCTTTCATCGCTCTGCTGTTGGTCCAGAGAGCATCACAAATAAGGCTTCTGATACACCCTTTCTCGAGGGCCGAATACCGTTTCAATCGGAGCTGGTTGCGGACCATATCGTAGCACAAGCGATCGCATGGAAGGCGAAGCTTAGCACAGGGCTCGCGTTCGAGCTGTCGAAGCAAAGCGGCCCTGAGGAAACTCTTGAGCAGCGCGGGCGGGACCGTTCTCAGCTGGATTTCATCGCCGAAGTCCGAGATCAACGTCACGAAGTTCGACATCTTCCATCCTATCCGAGCTAACGATAGTGTCATAGCTGACATCGGTCCGCACACCTGTCGACAGGTGGGCATCTTACTGTTAAAAACCTGCTCCCAGGCGTGCCTCAGCACCATGGGGGGGGGGGGGGGGGGGGAGAAGGAGGAGGAGGAGGAGGAGGAGGAGGAGGAGTGGAGTGGAGCAATCGGACGTAGTCCGTTCGGAACCCAGAGATGCCAGGGGGGCCATCCAGCATTTCTCGGAGGGCCGTGGGGGGCGACATCCCACGGCCCACCGCGACAGGCCCCCCTGGCCTCACAATTTACTCGGTGGCAGCTCCCGCCGCGTAGGAACCGATCGCGGCTTCGGCTGCCGAAACGTGCAAAGCCTCTAGCACTGACTTGCTGGGACCCGATATGGACGGGTGGAGGCCTCGCCTGATCCTGCTGAGGTTCTCGAGGCCTTTGCCAGTGGGTCCCAGGGCCCTGCGCTCTCCCACTTGGTGGGAGAGAGGGCACGGCAAAAGTAGGCTTTTAACCTGGTGCGCGGCCGTGTGGCCGCACTTAACACAGAAGAACAATTGCCACTTGGGGATGGTGGCCAAAGTGTGGGAGGGGTGGATCAACTTGCCACTGATCGCGCGGGGACCCCTCGACCACAGCACCTCTCCACACGCAGCGAACTCGGGAAGGGGGCAAGGCGGCGCACACTCTGTGGCGGCAGCTGGAATAACGTGGCAAGCGTCAACGATGATGAGGCAGGCAGGGCATCTCCATTTGTCTGCACACCGCTCGAATTTGTGCTGAGAAGCCGCGATCGCGGTCTGCAACTGAGAGCGCGGGGCTGCCTCCTGGGTGGATTGCCTCTCTGGCCACTGTCCTCGAGGCTCTGAATTCCTGCCTACAGAACGTAAAATCAGTCGTGCCCTCTGTCGGACGATGGCTGCAATAGCGTCGTATTCATCTGTCCTGGGGACGGGCGGGAGGGCAAGGGTGGCCGACTTGTGGGCTGCGCTACCCGCGAGCTCGTCGGCATGCTGGTTGCCGAGAGCCAGAAATTTTTGGAAACCATGCAACGTGAGGGGATCGGCGTGCGATGGGGTCCAGAGCACCGTGGCAGAAGAGCAGCCGCCAGATCGATCTTGCACGAGGTGCCGAATTCTCATCCAGGGATCCCCATTCTTATTCTTGCCTCTGAGGCCGCCAGGTCTGAGACATCTGCCATTCTGCCAGCCGCGCTGCAGGGCTCGGTGATCAGTAACAAACGTGAAATCCTGCTGGCACGTCTCCAGTGCCAGGCAAAACGCATGCAATTTGCCTCTTGGGACGGTCTGGCGGGGGCCTGGGAGGGGGGCGACGAGGCCCGCGCGGAGGGCCCAGGAGGCAGTGGGAGGGTCCCATCGGAGGGCCGCGAGGCCAGAACCAACACGGCGTCGCCTGACGTCGTCGGAAAAGGCGCCGCCAGACCCGTCGCCAAAAAGAAACAACCCGCCCTCAGCGTTGCGGGCTCCTTCCCACGACGGCAA